ACTAACATAAAACTCGGAGAAAAATTGGCAAGCTAATTATCACTTGGAAGGTGTTTCTGGTCAAATTCCTGCCCGGTGATCCATTTGATTTTTTTTAATGACTTTTATTAAACAAATCAAAGAATTAGTGGGACTTTTGCCAACATCTATCCAATAGTTCAAGAACAGCAATGAGACCTATTTAGGTTTAAACTTTAAAGCCAAGGCTTCACCCTCACTAATTTGATTTGCGGTAACTTTTTCATTCAGTTAAACCGGAAATGCTCTTGCCTGCCTTCCTCCTTTCCTTCTCTACGCCAGAGATACAGTGGAAGTCCCTAGACAGTTTTAATTCTGCCCTTCTCTGCAGAATTAAAAAAGCAGATGTTTTCTTCTGGCTGCTGGAGATAAGACTGAGAAGTAATTATTGTTCTGGTCCCAAATCCCACAGGTGTTTTCATTCCTGCCCTGTGACCACAGGAAAAATAAATAGTAAATCTGAGGGGGTCTTGTTGGGGTGCTCTCCAGGTTCAGGCTTAAAGCCAAATCTTTGAATATCTCCTGCAGGTGAAAATCTATGCAAGAGTCAGCAAGCTTTTTCTGTAAAAAGCTAGATATTAAATATTTTTGACTTTACAAGACATAGAGTCTCTGTCGAAATATTCAGTTCTGCCATCTTTGAGTCAATCAGCCATAGACAACATGTAAATCAATGGACCAGGCTGGATTTGGTCCAACCATAGTTTGCTGACCCCCAAAGGCTTCCCAAGAAATTAGATACCTACCACCAAAGAAACAAGTGCATAATTTACTTAAACAATAGTAAACACCTAGATAGCAGGCTCACAAAGGGTTTTCACAAATACTATTTCATTTGATCCTGAATTACCCTAAGAGGTTGTCATTATCTTACACTTGAGAAAGTCAAACTTGAGTGCTCAGGTAACTCCTCTAGTAGATTGAAGAGATGATATCTTTATTTCAGTTTCAGTGCCCTTTCTACCACATACCCAGCTGCCTAGTAAACAATGCACATTATACAGATCAAACAGAAATAAATGTAAGTGATAACAATTTCTATAGATATAGTTAGTGGTCAGCAGAGTGCAATATATCAACCCTCATCTAGCTCCATTGAGTCTCCCATGATACTAACTTAAGCATTAGACCAAGCTGAGAGTAACCAGAAAGCCAGAAAATTCTGTGTGCTGGGTCCCAGGGTCATTTCTGGAGTGATCATAGAGGCCTAGTTCACTCTAAACTGTTCTCAAACTAAAACCAAGAAAGATTTTGGCAATTATTTGGGGTCAAGGGAGGAATACCATACAGGAGTCTGCACTGAATCAAATTCAGGAGCAGTATGAGTCAAGCTTGGAACATACTTAGAGTCTACATATAGGTAAGATTCTTCGGTTATGGAAGATTTTGCAGGCAACTATTCTTTAATTATGACAACTCTACACAGTTAGGACATTACATTAGGAAACGCAGATGCACCATCTGTTAAGAAAACATGATTTAACTGATTTTTTTGTTAAACTTTAGCCTGACAAATATTAACTCTGTATTGTCCAGCTCAAATGAAAGTCTCAATGAAAAATACTCCTGATGAGGCATCTGTAAGTGATGCCCTATGTATCTAATTCAATTCAATTAAATGCCTGACACCTAGGTGTTTACTGAGTGCCAAGGTGTCAGGAAAAGTAAAATAATCTCTGCTTTTAGCAATAACAATAAAACAGTTATATAAATGAATATGATAAAAGAACGAATTTAGTTTGAAATGGATTTAGTATTATCTAGATTCAAAAACAGAAGAGATCTGGAGACAGACAAGGGAGGTTTCATAAAGCAACATGTCTTAGTCTGTTCACACTGCTATAAAAATACTATAGACTGGGTGACTTACAGACAATGGAAATTTATTTATTCCACTTCTAGAGGCTGGAGAGTCCAAAATCAAGCACCAGGAGTGGCAGTGACTGATAAGAGCCTGTTCCTCATAGATAGCCATCTTCTCACATGTCCTTATGGATGAAAGGTGTAAGGAGGCCCTCTGAGGTCTCTTTTGTAGGGACCCTAATCCAATTCATGCAGCCTCCACCCACATACTCTAATCTCCTCCAAAGGCTCTACCTCCTAATACTATCACTGATATGGTCTGGCTCTGTGTCCCCACCCAAATCTCATCTTGAATTGCATTCCAAATTATAATCCCCATGTGTTCAGAGAGGGACATCACGGGAGGTGCCCCCATGCTATTCTCATGATAGTGAGTAAGTTATCATGAGATCTGATGGTTTTATAAGGGGATTCTTCTCACTTTGCTCTGTACTTCTCTCTCCTGCTGCCATGTGAAGACCACATGTTTGCTTCCCCTTCCACCATGATTATAAGTTTCCTGAGACCTCACCAGTCATGCAGAACTGTGAATCCATTAAACCTCTTTCCTCTATATATTACCCAGTTTTGGGCAGTTCTTTATAGTAGTATGAGAATGGACTAATACAGTAAACTGGTACTGAGATTGGTACTGAAATAGTGGGGTGCTGCTGTAAAGATACATGAAAATGTGGAAGTGATTTTGGAACTGGGTAACAGACCAAGGTTGGAACAATTTAGAGGGCTCAGAGGTAGACAGGAAAATGTGGGAAAGCTTGAAACTTCCTAGATACTTGGAGGGCTCAGAAGACAAGAAGATGTGGGAAAACTTGGAAGCTCCTAGAGACTTGTTGAATGGCCTTTGTCCAAAATGCTGATAGTTACATGGACAATGAAGTCCAGACTGAGGTAGTCTCAGATGGATATGAGAAATTTGTTGGAAACTGGAGTAAAGGTCACTCTTGCTATGCTTTAGCAAACAGAGTGGCAGCATTTTGCCCCTGCCCTAGAGATCTGTGGAACTTTGAACTTGAGAGGGATGATTTAAGGTATCTGGCAGGAGAAATTTCTAAGTGGAAAAGTGTTCAAGTGGATGCAGAGCATAAAAGTTTGGAAAATATGCAGTCTGATAATGTAATACAAAAGAAAGCCCATTTTCTGGGGAGAAATTCAAGCCCACTGTAGAAATTTGCATAAGTAACAAGGAGCCAAATGTTAACCAACAAGACAATGGGGAAAATGTCTCCAGGGCACCTTCACAGCAGCCCCTCCCATCACAGGCCCAGAGGCTTAGGAGGGAATAATGGTTTCCTGGGCTGGGCCCAGGTCTCCCCTGCTCTGTGCAGCCATGAGATATGGTGTCCTCTTTCCAACTGATTCAGCTCCAGCCATGGCTAAAAGGGGCCAAGGTACAACTCGGGCCATTGCTTCAGAGATTGCCAAGACCCAAGACTTGGCAGCTTCCACATGGTGTTGAGCCTTTGGGTGCACAGAAGTCAAGAATTGAGGTTTGAGAACCTCCACCTAGATTTCACAGGATGTATGGAAATGCCTGTATGTCCAGGCAGAAGTTTGCTACAGGGGTAGAGCCCTCATGGAGAACCTCTGCTGGGGCAGTGTAGAAGGGAAATGTAGAGTTGGAGCCCCCTACAAAGAATTCCCACTGGAGCACTACCAAGTGGCGTCATAAGAAGAGGACCACTGTCCTCCAGACCCCAGAATGGTAGATCCACTGACAGCCTGCACTGTGCACCTGGAAAAGCTGAACACCCAATGATAGCCCATGAAAGCAGACAAAAGTGGAACTGTACCCTACAAAGCCACAGAGGCAGAGCTGCCCAATGCCATGGGAGCCAATGTCTTGCATCAGTGTGACCTGGATGTGCAAGATAGAGTCAAAGGAGATCATTCTGGAACTTTAAACTTTAATTACTGCCCTATTAGATTTCAGATTTACATGGGGCTGTAGCCCCTTTGCTTTGGCCATTTCTCCCATTTAGAATTGGTGTATTTACCCAATGCCAGTGCCCTCACTGTATCAAGGAAGTAACTAACTTCCTTTTGATTTTACAGGTTCATAGGCAGAAGGGACTTACCTTGTCTCAGATGAGACTCTGGACTTGGATTTTTGGGCTAATGCTAAAATGTGTTAAGACTGGGGGAACAGTTGGGAAGGCATAATTGTGTTTTGAAATGTGAGAAAGATGAAATTTTGGAGGGGCCAGGGGCAGAATGATACGGTCTGGTCCTGTGTTCCCACCCAAATCTCATCTTGTATTATAATCCAAATTGTAATCCCCACATGTTGGGGGAGGGACCTCATGGGAGGTGATTAGGTCATCATGGGGTTAGTTGGTTTACAGTTTTCCACAAAGGTGAAAATTAGAAGTCCATGGACCATATTCAGCCTGGAAACTTTTTGTTTTCTTTTTCTGGTCTACACAGTTTTTTTTAATTTTTATTTTTTATTTAAATGTGTTACCAACAATAAAATGTTGAAAGATTTTACATAAGAGTTGGATTTAGGGATTTTCTTAAAAAGTCAGATGATCTGACAACGAGAGGCATGATTACTGCATGTGAACAATTGGGGCTGTGTAGAAGCTGACCTCTAACATAGGGTGTGACGTCTCCTCCCATTTTTCTGGTCCCCTCCAGACCCACTGCACCCATTTGTGTTATGTACATGGCCTCTGTAGGCATCTGAGTTTGCAACAACTAATTCAAAAGAAATATGTGGGATATAGTCTAAGATAAGGTGGGAGAACTTGAAACAATTTCAGTATGATTAGAAAGTGCTTGAAATTATCCAGTTCACTTCAAAAATAAGTGACCGACTATTAAGTTATAAGCTATGTATTGCTGAAATAGGAAAAGCAGATTGAATCACCTATACTGTGGAGAAGATAATTGAGTTGCCTATAAGCTGAAAATTATGAATTTGATTCAGTAAACAATGCTGAGCAATTGAAGGTTTTTGCATTTAAGAATGATATACAGGAGCTAATTTTGTTTCTTCAAAAAAATGTTAATTCTAATCAAAATACATTTTAAAAATTTATACACTTTGAGAAAGTAAACAGGTTATTTTATGAACTATGTTGGAACTAAATGTACTGTGAAGTTCATTTATGTTTTGATTTATAACTTGGATGACCTCAATTTGAATCTTGTGTCCTATAACATTTTTTTCCATGTTCTGTATGAATTTCAAAACACTTCCCATAAACTCAAGCATAAATATATGTGGAACCACAATCATTAAAATAGTTTTATAAGTTGTGTGTTTGCCTATTACTTTTCTTTATACAATTTATAGGTAATTATTTTCAAATAGAAAATAATTCACGTTTAGAAAATAATTCTAAAACACATTTATAAATAAAAGGCAATCATTTTTGAGACATCTATATTCCAATATTCTTCAAGTTTGCTGTTGACTTTTTTTGAGGTTCACTATAAAATGCCAGCTGGGCATAGTGGCTCATGCCTGTAATCCTGGCACTGAGGTGGCTAGATTACATGATACCAGGAGTTCAAGACCAGCCTGGCCAACAGAGCGAAACTCTGTCTCTACAAAAAAAAGAAAAACGCCAAGATGTCAGTTGATGACATTAAGGTGTTTAAAGCTATTTCTTATATAATATTTGTATAGACATAGCCTTTTGAGTCAGTAGTATCTCTAGCAAGGACTATTTTTATCCTATATTTAAAATATTCATATTTCCTTTATATGTTTATATAACAATTTCAGTAATTGGTGGCTTATAATAAGCAGGGTTTTTTTTGAAGTAAAAAAGGTAATTTAAGCACTTTCCCAATGATAAATTAGTTCAATATCTTACCTTTTCTAAGAAACGATGTCACTGGATGGGCACATCTCACCCTTTAGCTATTTTTTTTAAAAAATTCTCTTTTCCATTCCATTACCTTTCTTCTCCTGAGGTTATTAGTCAACTCTCCATTTAAGATATTAGTACATTTATTAAAAATTTCAAGCCCTGAACTTGGGCTATTCGCCAAGAATAAGCCCAGCAAAAACTATAGTTATTTATCAGTTAAGGTTATATTTCATTTCTATTACCACTATATTGCCACTATTAACCATTTGTTTTTAGAACTACAGTCTCCTCAGTTTATTACAAATGAACTTGAATTTGAAAACTGCGTGAGAATTGCACGTATTTTTGTTTTTTTTGAAAGGACCTGCCTGATGACAAAATAATCTTCTTTTCAAGGCACAGGATCTTACTTAAGCCTATTAAGTAATAAATGCTTATTTCTCACAACACAAATACAAAGAAAACTCTAGTTATTTTGATAATCACTGGGTTTCTGCAAGAGACACTCACATATATGCATATATTTAGGTGGTGATTGTGCCATTCAGGCCTCATAAATCAATCTGGCAGGTCCTTATGATGACTTCTGCTTTCATGCTTGACTTCCTTTGTTTTTCAACGTCTTCATTGCATTGAAATCCTGAGATCAGGTGTACTGGTCCAGAAGTGTTTTCACCAAGGAGACATAAACAGACTGGCCTGTGTTCTTCCCAGCCTATCATGTGACTTCTTTGCTTAGTCTTCTACCTAAAGTCTTTTTGCCTTTTTTTCTGCACCCCTCACCTTACATGCTCATCTGAGTTTGTTGCCAGTTACCACCCCAGTCCATTTAGCATTACTGCTTTGCACATTTCCCATTCTATATGATTGTCAGTGTTTCATTCTATGTTCCCAAATATATTCACTCCTTATTTTTATCAAAACATCACTATTTGGAATAATTTTCTGCATGTCTTTAGTCAGGAAATTTTCTTTTTACATTTATACTCAAAACACATTGAATAGAAATTTGGTGATGAGTTATGAGAGTCCCTCTAATATATAAATGAGTCAAATTCCAAATATGTTACTGAATTTATCTTATGTAGTCATTTGTATTGCTAACTTATTCTTGGTCAAGGTATTAGGTTCATCTAGTAATTTTGGAATTAGGCGATTTCTTTATCTACACAATCCAGAGAGTAAAGTTATCCCTATGTGAAAGACAAAACCAAAACCCCTAAATTATTCACAACAGAGACTAACAATGTGATAGGCTAAGTTTGTAAGGATAACTATTAATCATATATCTTAAGCAGCCTTGGTATATATCCTACAATAGGGTCGTGTATTGCCATTCAAATATTATACTTCAGTTTTTATGCCTTGTCGTCTCAAATGATTTTAAACACTTGACAACACGGAGAGTGACTGTGTGTGTGTGTGTGTGTGTATTTGTGTGTGTGTGCCCGTGCACACATATATGTGTATTTCTGGGGTTTTCCACAGCTTCTAGCTCTATGCAGTGTATATAATAGGGGCTTGGAAATTTGTGAAGAAGGAAAGAAGGGAAGGAAAAGAGGATGAACTAAACAATGGGAATGATGGCCCTTAAACACCACCAAGATAGAAATAGCAGGGATCAAGGGCTTCCTGACTACCCCACCAGCTCATTTATCACTAAAATTCCTACAGGGAAGGGGAGGATGATAGGAGAGGTAACCTAATCATATACTGTCCATGTTTTTTTGAAGAAAAAAATAGTAATATTGCAGAGAAAAAGAAAATAATCAACTTTTAGAAGGTGAGATAAACATGAAATATAAGATGTGGTTACACAGCTGTTGTTACATATTCAGCACCTTTTTTTTTTTTTTTTTTGAGACAGAGCCTTGCTCTGTTGCCCAGGCTGGAGTGCAGTGGTGCAATCTCAGCTCGCTGCAATCACCGCCTCCTAGGTTTAAGCAATCCTTGTGCCTCAGCCTCCTGAGTAGCTGGAATTACAGGCACGTGCTACCATGCCCAGCTAATTTTGTATTTTTAGTAGAGATGGAGTTTCACCATGTTGGCCAGGCTTGTCTTAAGCTCTTGATCTCAAGTGATCATCCGCCTTAGCCTCCCAAAGTGCTGGGATTACAGGTGTGAGCCACTGCCCCCAGCCAATATTCAGCACATTTTTTACAGTCACTCAGTATATAGCAGGGACTCAACACCTGTTTGCAGGACCTATTAATATCTTACAATTTCTATGAACTTGATCATGTCAGTCTCTGTACAAAAGCATACTATTTTGAAAAACTCATAAAATTTATATAAGCAAATAATCAATTCATTTTATATAAATATTTCATATATGTGATTCATCTTATTGAAATATTCCTACAGCTCTATGTGGTAAGAACTATTATTATCCCCATTTGCACATTTATACGAACAAAGAAGCTTAGGCTGAAAATTATGAGTACCTGAGCCAAGCTTTTACACTAGCTAGCTAAGTGGCTGTGCAGAGTTCAAACCCAGGCATTCGAACTCTAAGCCTGCATTTAGGCACTACTCTAGCTCCTCAGGGACGACACAAATATTATGACTAATAAGACAGAATTATGTAATTCTGTTTGCCCTCTCTGACCCATGCTAGGCACCATAACAATGTTAACTCTATTAGTCAAGTTCTACATATAACAATACCCAAGGGAATGATGTATCTTTAGGACTTCATTAAGAGATTTCTGGGGAATGCCTGAAACCCATGCGGAGTAACAAGATTACGCTGTTCTTAGACCTAATGGCAGACAACGAATTACAAACACCACACAGTAGTAATCACGTACCAATTCCTCTTTGTTTTGTTTTCTGAGACAAGGCCTCACTCTGTCACCCAGCCTGCGGTGCAGTGACGCAATGATAGCACTGCAACCTTGAATTCCTGGGCCCACGCAATCCTCCCACCACGGCCTCCCAAGTGGAGTGGACTACAGGCACGTGCCACCAAGCTGACTGCTACATATTTTTTTAACCAATTCCTCTTTGGAAACTTGGGCTTGTGTGAGGAAAATAGCTTATCTCTGATCTCTACTTGTCTCAATACTTCTCTGTCTGTTATCCCTGTTATTCTACACTCTTGAGCTCTGCGATGGTCTTTTTTGTTTGTTTTTCAGGTCTCTGGGTTAAACTATTGGTCTTTTCATTTACAAATGCCCATAGTTGACTTTAGGTGCCCCTTTTTTAAGTTTCCTTATGACTTTCCTCCCCTCCGATATGTAGAGTTCAAGGTATTTGTCTTCCTCATTTTTTTTTTTTTTTGGTTTAGAGCAGTCTGTTCTGCTAGAGCCCTCTTTGCCAATTAGTCTTTTTACCTCTTGGATAGGACCAAAGTATAGATTCTAAAGTCCATTCTAATTGGCTACCAAAACAGCTTCCTATTTTGAACACACTTTTTCCCAGTATCCCATGCCATGATACCCTATCAGTCCGCACATGCTGTTGGAAGCAGTGGTTTAGAGACATCACTTCTTATTTTCTGTTCAATATTGTGACAGCTCAATATCTACTTTGTAATCCACCTTTCATAGCCTCAAATCCTTTCTCTGTGTTCCTTAGGACTTTACCACTGGCCTATGTCAGTATTCTTTGTTCCTTTTCCATCCTTTGAGATTCCCTAGTACTGTAGTCCTGGACCAGAGAATAAGACTTAGAAAAGCCTAAATTCCAATCGGTGGCACATCACCCTGTAAATCTCTGATGTGAATAATTCAGTGATTCTGCAGTGGTTCCTATCCTTTCATTCACACTGAGATCATCTTTCATTCATCTTTTGGGTGTTGCAAACATTTGAAATACTCCAAATGCTTTATTCTGAAATGAGTGAGAATATTTGTGATCAGAACTAGAGAAACTGTAACTTCAGCCATTCAACACAATTTTTAAACAATTTTTATGTTCTAGAGAAATAGCAGGGAACAAGGTAAGCCAGAGCTCTGTCCACATGGAATTCACCTATTACTTTGTCATTAGTTAATATTCATCAACTACATTTGATATGGAAAACATATGTTAGGTGTTTGGGAATGGCCAATAAATAACATTCCTCTTTCCCAGTTGAATTCAAAACCAAATTAGAGATAGAAAAGATAGACAGATGGAGATCAAACCAACAGCTTTATAGCTGTTAAAGCTGATCAGAGAATGTGGCTTTAAATCTGCCTTTAGCACGGAATTTAAGAGATATGCTTCCTTATTCTCCAGCATAGTTTGACAGCTGCAGGGCATTCTCCCTAGAAACAGAGCCCTCACTGTGTGTCAGAGGGCTGACGAGAATATATGAATCCTGTGGACATGTTCACTCTGAAAAAGAAGTTTAGAGGGGACCTGGTCTAGCATGTTTGGTTTCTTCTCTTGAACATACAAGTCAGATAGTGACATTGCAGGCTAGGAATATTCATCTAGAGATCCCGTCACATGAAAACATGAGGCCAGAGTGATAATAATAAATGAAACTGAAAAAATATATAGTTGAATCAGGGAAAACTTATTTGTCCTTGGAACACTAAAGATTTATTGAGACTTAGGAAAACCTTTCCTAAGAGTCACAGGCCCACAGGTTAATTAACAGCTATTGTGAGTCTGTGCTATGCAATGATTTCAGTAATGGTCATAACAATAATGATGACTTTCATTTTGAAAGCAAAAACTGCAGAAGAAGTAAAGGTATGTAGATTAGGAATTGCATGCTTTCCATTCACATTTGAATTAAATAGCAATCTAAAATACAGTTTATATAACAGTGAGGAGTAATTATGACAATAATTGAAGGAAATATTTTTAATGAAGCATTACATGTAGAGACAAGTTGTTTGAATAAGCCTATTAATTGAAAATTCAGTATCACCTTATTGCAGGTTTGGATTTATTAAGCTATTTTCCAATATAATCTAAGAAGAAATAAATGGTTTTCAACCATAACAACTAGAGTAATCACCAATAAGACATCAATTGATGTTGGATGACGACTCCCTCACTCTGGAGGCTGCTGCAAACACAGGAAATCAGTTATATTCCAAAGCTGCTGCTTGCTCCTAAGAGATCAGGTCACACTGTTGAGTCCCCCAATTTATTTAAATCTGTTATTTTATTTCAAGTGCTAATTGTCTCTCACAACAAACAGAGACTCCTTTCAGCTGCAATTATTGGCATTACAATAGATAATCAACAGGAAAGCTTGAACGCAGAGAAAGAAGAGTTGCCTTGGTTACAAACCTGAAATGCTTTTGGTACTAAAGTTGCAGCCATGTTTCTAAATCTCCTGAAACACCTCAACGGCAGAGGGTTGCGTTTATTTTCTTCTTTGTGGCCCATCTAACTTAATTTTAACCCACATGGAGACCTGGTCTTATACAAATAGTTTTACAAGGTCTCTTTAATAAATAGCCCCACAAAATAAGGGTTTCATTTAATTAGAACATTTGTATATACATGGTCATGGACTTTCAGAATAAGAAGGAATCAGAGGTTTTTTTGTGCTAAAGTAGCATATTATTAATATTTTCTATTCACAGCCATAATATGTAGCCATTACTCTACACTGTACTCTCATCTCCTTTTTCTTAAAAAGCCCAATGGAAAAGTAAATCACTTTAGGATCCATCTCTATTCCAGTCTCAAAATGGTATTTTACCTCTTGAGTGCAGATGGAATGAGTCTAGCTGGGTGGACCCAAAGGTAGATCTCCATAACAGGGCTTTGCTAGTAATTGTTTTGTTTTGCTACTTCTGTATCTGTACAGTAAATTGAGGTTTAAAACACAAGGATAATTATTCAGATAATGATCTATTGACATAACTAGCAGTCTAAAATGCACATAAGAAAATTAATGCCATACTTCATAGGACATCTTATTGTTTATCAGGCTGTTTTGGTGGCCAGTACAATTTCTCCCTCCACCCATTTATCTTGGTTATGGGAGATTTTCTTGTTTACTTTTGAAATACCTTGTGCACACTCAGGAGACTTACATTTTACCACCTTGGTGAAGGTATTCAGATGTACAAACAACCACCATTTATTAAGGCCTTAATAAATGACAAGCACTGTATTAGAACTTTAAACAAATAGTGTACTAACTACAATATACAACATTACAATCTAACATCTACAATAAATTAACAACCTTATTATGCAAAAATTATTATCCCTATTCAGAGATAAGAAAACTAACTTGTGACTTGAAGGAATTTTGGGGGATTTTTTTAATGCAAAATGTTTTTACTAACAATGTAGAATGGAGTTTAAGGGCCAGAACACCTTGAATAAAATCCTAGCACTCCCACTTAGAGCTGTGTGGTTATTTGCAAGTAACTTAGCCTCTCTTTGCAATAGTCCTTTTATCTATAAAATGAGGAAAATAGAGAAATAGGATTATAGTTAAGAACTGCATGATTTAATACATGTAAAGCATTTAAAGCCATGCTAGATACATGGTAATTATCCAATGTTAACTCGTTAAATATTTGGAATATTGCATAATTTTCCAAAGTGATTACATTTTAATGTTTGAATTGTATTACTAGAATTATTTCTTCTATTTATAATAAGTTCAATCATTTCTATCAAAGCCATTGAAGATTAGAAAACACAAGTGTGGATATAATGTATTTCCGTACCATGCTTTGTATCATTGAATAGGCTGTACAGATTTTAAGCATAAATGTGTATTGTTATTATTTTGCTATTTACGTAGTTAATATTTGCAACTGGCTTTAGCCTTTCTTTGTTAACAATATCTAAAGGGATGAAATATCTCAGTCAAAGCTTACATTATACAAAATGATGATAAGTATACCTTCCTATTCTGCTGTCCACCCTTGTAATTTCATTCATGTGCCTCTCCAATTCCATTAGAATCTACCTCCCTAGGTTTTCTTCTCTATCAAAACTAGTTTTCAAATTTTTCCATTGATAATATGTGTGCTGGTTACTAAGCTGCTCTTTCAGGTGGAAATCCATCCTCTATACTTAAATGGTATTGCTAGGACTTCACCAAAATTCTCCTTTGTCTGTTAGGCACGACCAACAGAGGGCAGTATATATACAGAGAGAGAGAGAGAGAGAGAGAGAGAGAGAGAGAGAGAGAGAGAGAACTGGGAACTTGCTTTTTATATGCATATTGTTAATATATTGCCAACAATAGCCTAGTGGTAGTAGTGGTCCCAGTCTTCAGCTTTGTTCATTACTCTTTAGAAACATCAAGTGGGAGGTTTCCCTCCTCAGAGTTCTGAGTCCTAAATCCATGGAGCCACTCTCCTATGACTACATATCAGAAGCAGCTGAACAGCTCCCCGCTACCAGAAAATCTGAATTCCAACTCTGCAGGGCCTTGTCCCTAAACTTCTAGGTTCAGCTAACTCCAGCCTCTTCCCTCCGTTCTCCATGGCCTGGGTATAATTACTATTTCTGTTTTACCTAAATGTTCACTTTTTGTTTTTCTACTCTTCTAACATGTGTTTAACCAATTCCTTTTTTAAAAAATGCCCTTGGCCAGGTGTGATGGCTTATGCCTGTAACCCCAGCACTTTGGGAGGCCGAGGCAGGCGGATCACCTGAGGACAGGAGTTCAAGACCAGCCTGGCCAACATGGTGAAACCCCATCTCTACTAAAAATACAAAAATTATCCAGGTGTGGTGGTGGGGGTCTGTAATCCCAGCTACTCGGGAAGCTAAGGCAGGAGGAATTGCTTGAACCTGGGAAGCGGAGGGTGCAGTGAGCCAAGTTTGTGCCATTACACTCCAGCCTGGGGGACAAGAGCAAGGCTTAATCTCAAAAAAAAAAAAAAAAAAAAGCCCTCTACTGAAATATGTGGTTTCTGATTTCTTGTCCAACCCTAACTGATCACAAAATGCTACAAGTGTTTAAAAGTGTTATACTCCGGGAAGTTTTGCAGATTTATCAAAAAAAAAAAAAAAAGAAGGGGAATTTTTGGCAACGTTCAGTAAATAAAGAAGTGTTTGTGGGTGTAGCAAAAGTTTTCGCTGCATCCAACCCCACTACGCCAAATTAATTATACCTCACCTAGGCAGCCAGTTCTGTCTTTGGCTTAAAATCTAACATTTCCTAAAACACACCTATAGAACAATTAAACTTACGAATTAGGGCTTTATTGTGTATCTGTTATGAAGAATTAGTTTCAAGTGATGTGGCTTTATATGTGAACTTTCATAGCCTGGCTTTTATCTATTGCCCATCAGATTAAGTCAACACTTATTTTCTGGCAACAATATTCACTCTCTGGGCTGTGTTAGTTAGTTGTGTGGTGCTATAAGGAAATACCTGAGACTGGATAATTTATAAAGAAAAGAGGTATATTTGGGTCACTGTTCTGCAGGCTGCACAAGAAGCATGGTGCCATCACCTGCTTCTTGGTGAGGGCCTCAGGCTTTTTCCAGTTATGGCCAAAGGTGAAGGACAGCTGGCATGTGCAGAGATCACATGGCAAGAGAGAAAGCACAAGAGAGAGGTGGGAGATGCCAAGTTCTCAGTTTCCTTTTTTTTTTTTTTTTTTTTTAAGACAGAGTCTTACTCTGTCGCCCAGGTTGGAGTGTAGGGGTGCGATCTTGGCTAATTCCAACCTCCACCTCCTGGGTTCAAGCCATTCTTCTGCCTCAGCCTCCAGAGTAGCTGGGACTACAGGTGTGTGCTACCATGCCCAGCTGATTTTTGTATTATTAGTAGAGACGGCGTTTCACCATATTGGCTGAGGCTGGTCTCAAACTCCTGACCTCATGATCCACCTGCCTCAGCCTCCCAAAGGGCTGGTTGCCCTCCAGCCAGGGCAACAAGAGCAAAACTCCATCTCAAAAAAAAAAAAAGAAAAAAAGGCTGACAGCTTTTACTCTTGCCCTGAGACTACATGAAGACAGACAAAATTCCAGCTCCCCTAGCTGTGCCCAGCTTCCAGACATTCTGCTCCCTGAATACAGTCAAACAAATCACCACTGGCAAGACTGGCAGAAGACCATCCAGCTAAACCTAGCCCAGCTGGCAAAATAATGAACACGTGAAATGGTTATTATGTTAAGCCACTAAGTTTTGGTATGGCTCATCACACAGCAATAAATAACAAACGTACACTAAGTGGTCCCAGGTTGGGTACTCTTTCCCCTTGCATACCATGAAACAAGATTATTGTGCCACCTGAATCTGACCTGACCCACTGTTGCCTACAACCCCTTATTGATACCATTGTGGTGACTCAGACACTACACACGTACTTTTTTCGTCAATGCATAATGACTTCTTTTGTTACTTGGACTTTTGCGTTTTGCTGCCTATCTTTGCTATTTTCCAATTTTGTCACTACTATGAGATTACCATCATCATCCTTGCTTAACTCATTTGTCTAATCTCAACTACTGATGTCTTCCTCCCTTGCTTGCCAACTCAACCTGTAGATTTTGGAACTTGGCCCCCACATTCTTATGAGCCAATTCCTTGGAATAAATCTACCTATATATTCTTCCCTTCTTTTCTTGCTGTCTTTGTCAGGCTTCTCCAGAGAAAACAGAATCAATAGGTTGGATGCAGTATATGCACGTATACTACAGAGAGAGATATAGATATAGATATATAGATAGATATTCTGTTTCTCTGGAGAAGCCTGACAAACACAGCAAGGAAAGAAGGGAAGAATATATAGGCAGATTTATTACAAGGAATTGGCTCATAAGAATGTGGGGGCCAAGTTCCAAAATCTGCAGGTTGAGTTGGCAAGCTGGGGAGACCCTGGACAAGCCAACAGTTCAGTTGAAGTCAGAGGCAGGAAAAAGTCAATGTTCCAGTTCAAAGGTAGTCAGTAAGGAGTTTTCTCTTATTTGGGGAAAAGTCAGCCCTTTTGTTCTGTTTAGGCCTTCAACTGATTGAATGAGGCCCACTCACATTAGGAAGGGCAATCTGCTTCCCTAAATCTACAGATTTAATTTCAATTTTATCCAAAAACACTCCCACAGAAATACTCAGAAAAAGGTTTCACCAAATACTGGGTACCCCATGGTTCAGTCAAGTTAACACATAATAAACCATTAGACTTGCTAATGAACTAAATGATCAGTCAAGAGTTTGTCCATGATCAACTCAAATATCTGTAATGAAGAAAGAAAGCTTTGTGTTGACCAGCATTCACCCAAAGGTTTTGTCCTCCACTATGCCACTGCTGTGATTATCCTTTATGGAAATTTGCTCCTGTCTGTCAGGGCTTTCTGTATCTTTCTGTACAGCTGGAATAGCTTCCCAGTCCTTGGGCCTCTGCAGTCATGAGCAGTGCAAGTCAGCAGCAAAGCACAAGGAAAACTTAGAAGAAACAAAGTAGTGTCTTCGGAACAGTAGATTGATGAAGGAGGACCAGTTTAGTATTAAAATATATACATGTGTGTGTGTTCTATATTTTATAAAAATGGACAGTGAATTTTAAGTGTATATCATCTTTTTCCCAGGAACTATATTAATTCAGTTAGGATACTCTCAGAAAAAGACTAGGAATCAGCAAAACAGACTTCTTCATTAAGAGTTTTTTGATGACTCTTTCCTTCATAATCTGAGTAATGTCAACAGCAAGTAAAACACAAGGTCTAGTGGTATATAAAATTTTTGATTATTCAGAGACTGTATTCTTGTGAATTACTGTATCTCCCTTCATGTCTCACACTTCCCATATCTTTTACCATCTCCAAGAAGAGTGTGGCTTCAAAAAGTGAAATTCGTAGCATGGGATGTTTTCAGTCTGAAAGAGACTTAGAGGCTAACTATGCCTATTTCTTAACTTTGTAGGTTAGCCAACTGTCTTAAGAAGAGAAAGTTGTCTGGGCACAGTGGCTCATGCCTATAATTTCAGCACTTTGGGAGGCCAAGGCAGGTGGATCACCTGAGGTCAGGAGTTTGAGACCAGCCTGGCCAACATGATGAAACCCTGTCTCTACTAAAAATACAAAATTTAGCACTAGGTAAATACGTGTGTGTGTGTGTGTGTGTGTGTGTGTGTGTGTGTGTGTGTGTATTGATCAGTTAGACCTGGGACACTGGATTATACATATATATATATATATATATATATACACACATACATATATATATATATATAGAGAGAGAGAGAGAGAGAAAAGAGAGAGAGAGAGAGATACACTGCTGTCCATTACCTTTGAAAATACTAATGTTGACAGCCTTATTTTCCTTGTTTACAAAGACAGCTGAAAATACAGTATCCCCAGCTGACCTGCACATGAATAAAATGTCCTTTCAGTATGGTGTCCCTTGACTCAAGTGCTGTCACTGACTGATATCATTTCGTGTGTCTCTGACCAGAGTCCCTACAACACCCACAGCAAGCCAGCAGGTCCACACAGCGCATTTGCCATCATGGCTGGGGAAACGTGGAACGTAACCTCTCAGTTCACACTAACCATGCCCTTATGCTTCAAATGTGTTTAAGGAGAAAAGAACTGGAGAAAGAGAAGAGAAGAAGCCAGAAGGTGCATATAGAAAGTGATTGACTCCACAAAGAAGAGTTGGAAATTAACACTGCAAAAAGTGCACTGAATTCGGATGGCTTCCTTCTGAGATGCAGGTACTAAGAATAATTATAGTCTGTCTGTGATTGCCCTTATCCTATGAAAAGAAAAATGCCAAGCAAGGTTCTATATGACTTCACCTTTGGTGATTTAACCAGGCTTACAGCATTATTTCTCACTGAATTCACCCAGCACTAACTTCCTGTCTCTAAACCACAAATCCTAGAACAGAGTGATACCCCACTACCTTTCATTACTCTTTCACTTTCCCATGCCTTTGCATGTGACGACTCCTTTGTTTGGAGCATTCTTCTGCCCTACTTTGCTTTTTAAACTCAGACTGCCACACTCACCTCCAGGGCCCTCTGCTGCAGAAAGCTTGCCTCCCTCCAGTTTGTTCTAGGAAGTCTGTGGTAGCCCGCCTTCACCATGGCCCCCAATGATTTTTACTTTCTGATGGTAAGGTCTCCACATGGTCTTCTCCCCCACTGAATAAAGCTGACCTGACATGTAATCTATGCAAAATTGTCAAATGTCTGCCTTTTGAATCTAAGTCATAATAAAAGTAGTAAGTCCTACATTGTTCTCTCTTCAATTGCTTACTCTGGGAGAAGCGAGCTGCCATATCTTGAGATTATTCAGTCATTCCTATGGAGAAGTCAGTGTAGTAAGGCTGTGTGCCAAAAACCAGCACCAACTTGCCAGCCATGTGAGTAAGCCATCTTAGAAGCAAATTCTCCAGCCCCAGCCAAACCCTCAGTTGACTGCAGCCCTGGCTGACATCTTGACTAGAATCTCATAAGAGATTGCAGGCCAGAATCATTCAGCTAAGCTGCTCCCAAATTCCTGACTCACAAAAACTGTGTAAGGAAATGTCTTAGTCTGTTTAGTGCTGCTCTACGAGATTACCCGAGACTGGGTAATGCATAAAGAAAAAAGATTTATTTGGCTCATTATTCTAATGGCTAGACTGTTCAGGATTGGGCATTTGCATCTGGTGAGGGCCTCAGGCTGCTTCCACTCATGGTGAAAGCTGAAGAAGATCTGGTGTGTGCAGAGATCATATGGCAAAAGAGAAAGCATCAGAGAGAGGGGAAGAAGCATGCTAGACTTTTTTTTAACAATCAGCTCTCACAGGAACTAATAGAGCAAGATTACTCACTGCAATAAGAATGGCACCAAGCCATTCATGAGGGATCCAGGCTGAAGACCCAAACATCTCCCATTAGGCCCCACTCAACATTGTGAACCAAATTTCAACATGAAGTTTGGAGAGGACAAACATCCAAACCATAAAAAATAAATATTGATTGTTGTTTGAAGCCTGGATGTTTTGGAGTGATTTCTAATGCAGCAATAGATACAGGATCTCTCCTATATTTCTCCATAGTATCCTACATTTCCCTCCATCAACACCTATTTCCCTTTCTCTCTTTACTTGTCTGTCTCTTCCACTAGCCTGAGATCATCTTGAGAGCAGAGACGTGGCAATTTATCTTACAATTTATAGAGCTTCAGTGGCCCCAGGAAGGGTATTCCTAATGGTTCTGCAAGCTGTGCACTTCCTCAAAGCTGCCTGCCAAATGTACGCAGGTAAACGGAGGCTGATGTCCAACTTTCATTTGCCCAACAAGTTGAAGGTCTTGGTAAAAGCTGCTGTCACTGGCAGAGAGAGGCATTTATTTTTTGCACAAAGGCACCTTCACTCAGTAAATCTTGTAAAACGGTCACTATTCTAATTCATTCACTGAGTCAGTCAAGGTTCATTCAAGAGACAGAAACCATAAATAAATAGAATAATTAACTACAACAGTAGATTGGAGGAACATAAGGTTAGTTACTAAGCATCAAAGGAACTCAAAACAATACAAGGATAACAGATTTAGGGAGCAAACACTACCTCCAGGACACAGGCAATGCACCCAAATAAGGAATAAATTAGACAAAAGACCCCTGCCTACCAGAGCTGAGATACAGGCTTTGTTATAGAGATCCACTGAATGTCGACAAGTTTGCTGAGGTGCAGCAAGAACCAAACTTGCTGGGAAGCCATCCTTTGGAAAGCTGGGGGAAGATGCCAATGCAGATGTGCCACAAATGCCAAAATAGCACACACTAGAACCAGGAAGAGAAGCTCCTTCTTCCTCCAGCGTTCCTCCGGTGCCCTCTATTGCCAGCTTAATTTAGTGCCAGTTGACAAGGGAGAAATGCTCCAGCATCCATTAGCAGGCCAATGAAGAAGGGATTAGTGGGGGAGTGGATTGATAACTGGCACATTCCACTAGAAATCAGCCTTTTTCTAATATGGCCATCCAGAAGGAATGCCCTTTCCAGATTCTCCCAAAGGCACTCTATGGCCCTGGTGGGTTTTTTGTTAGAGTCATGAAAACATGGCTTGGCTACCTAGTGCTCAAGGGTTGTTCTTAGTCAAGTTTGCTCCTAGCAAACTGTTGTGTTTGGATGACTGCCTCTCAGAGGCAATGTGTGTTAACGTAATCTCCCAGCTGTTTCTATTGAACATGCCTCCAGCCTAAACTCAGTAGCCATTTGGCACTACTCCATGTCTCACGTCTGAGTTCGCCTACATGGCAACTGATTTCCTATGCTGGTGGCTCCCTTTCCGATAACACAGCAGCCCAGCCTATAGTTTCTGAGCCTTGATGTCAATGGAACAGCTGGACAACTTGTTCTTACAAATGTGGTCCTTGCAACTGATGTTATGTACATCAAGTAAGTGTGACAGATAAAACACAAACCCCTTCCTAATGCTGGATCTGATGACGATATAGGACTTCCGTCACTCTGAGATTGACTGGCTCCTAAAAGCAGTTTGGCTTACAGTATCTGTCAGAGAGAGGTGATATTTTGTGACATCAAATCACAATAGAATCTCCACTAAAAGGGATATAATCATAATAGAAACTTGCATAGAGTTACACAGCATGAAACTATGGCTTGTCATCTCCGCCTATCTGTAATATTTTTCTATAAAATTAAATGATAGCATTGATAAAAAACACCTAGTAGTCTGTTTATCCTGATGCTCTGAAGAAACATGCTAATTATATCTTGAAGGAAAACGTTCAATTTCCAATGTATTAAGGGCAGAACTAATTCAGTCAAAGAACTAATTCAGTCAACATTTATTGAGTGTAGTGAAGTTAAAAAGAAAGAAGATATTATATACTTAATATATACTTATTACATATATACATATGACCTGACATTTCCTGTCATGTCTTCTGTTGGATCCCATACACTTTACTTTTAAAAATTGTTTCTCCTCTTTAATATTTGATATCAAATGAAAGCAGAAAACTGGAAGAGCTGCACCCTAGGATGACCTGGACCTTGTGGGGCATCACTATAAACAAGCTTTGAGATGCACATTCTCATTTACTGAAAAATCGGGGGAAAAGTAAACAGTTGGAAAGTAAATTTAAATCTAGTACTATTAAAATGTCTTTGGTCAACAACTCATATATTCTAGAAAAGTGTCACAAAAAATAAAAGTCAATGACAAACCTTTGAGTGTGTTGCTATATTTCTTGGAGAAATACTGAAAAAATAAGATTCGCAAGCAAATAAGAGGTAAAGGGCCTAATAATCATTACTTTCAAGACAGGAAAAACAGGCAGCTACTGTAGGCCAAATGTACTAATGATGTCTTTGCACAGAACTTAAAGAGTACTCTTGGTTGGTACCATTCAAACTTTTTCCGTGAGCCAGCCACTGTTCTAAGCCTATGAGGTGGGTACTCTTGTTGTCAGCTGGCTTGACTCCACTTTTAACCATACTGCTTCACTGCACATTCCCCAGCTCAAAATAGAGTTCACATAGTTCTGCAAGAGTTAAGATTTCCATTGGCATTAACCTATAAAACACAGAACCCAGTATTGCTATAATTCTACTGAATAAATAGAAATGAAGGAAAACATTGGCCAAGCATAGTAGTTCATGCCTGTAATCCCAGCACTCCAGGAGGCTGAGGTGGGTGAATCATGAGGTCAGGAGATGGAGATCATCCTGGCTAACACGGTGAAATCCTGTCTCTACTAAAAATACAAAAAAGTAGCTGGGTGTGGTGGCACATACCTGTAGTCCCAGCTACTTGGGAGGCTGAGGCAGGAGCTTGAACCTGGGAAGCAGAGGTTGCAGGGAGCCCAGATTGTGCTATTGCACTCCAGGACAACAGAACAAGATTCTGTCTCTAAAAAAGTAAAAAGAAAAGAAAAAAGAAATGAAGGAAAACAAGCTTTTTTAATATTATATTTTAATTTCTGGGGTACATGTGCAGATCTTGCAGGATTGTTACACAGGTGTATGCATGCCATGGTGGTTTGCTGTCCCCATCCTCCCGTCACCTACATTAGGTATTTCTCCTAATCTTATCCCTCCCCAATCTCCTCACCCCCTGCTATCCCTTCCCTAGCTCCTCACCCTCCAACAGACCCCAGTGTGTGATGTGATGTTGCCCTTCCTGGG